CTTGAGCAAATAGCGAGGCATTGCAGTGAGTGACCTATGTACATATGTGACCGACGTAAATGGTTGCCGAACCCATTCCACTCATCAACTGAGCTTGAAATTACGTTTTACCACTAATTGGCTTTGTCGTTAGAATTATCTAAATGTATTAATACATATGCACCGATATATTAACATGCATATGTATGTATATATAGTGCACTTTAATATATATAACTACTGATTTTCTTGAAAAAAGGTAACAGGGGGTACTACTGCGATCGGCAGCTGTTGTAAGCAAACGGCACATGGCGATACGGCATGTAAAAATTAGTTGCGGTTATTTGCTATCTCCAGCAGTACTGTATTGACTTTTCTTTACTTACCTTATTTATGGCCACTTGACTTTTCATTGTTGAAGTTCAAGTGCATTTAGTGTGGTCATGTGTATGCACATAAAAGTTCTCGTATAATCATCTCATATCGGGGCTATTAACACGTCGCTCCAACTTCAAGACTTGCTGTGATGCAAAATTTGTTCTAACAATTTAGTTCAGAGTTCTACGACCCATTGGTTAGAATCTAGGGTCTATCCCGCTTTACGCACTTGAGATCAAAGTGATAAAACTTTTAAAGTGACATTTTCATACAAATTCTAGATTTTTAAAGCAACTAAAATCTTCTCTATATTTTGTGAATTTGGGTGTCAACTTTTTCACTCTTCATATTTTATAAAACAAAATTAAATTAAATTAGATTAAGCTTAAGTTAATAAAAAACTACATATTTTAATTTTCAAAGGGACTTCCAAGCACGCTCTCAAAGCCGTTTTTTCCACGCCTCCAAATCAGATTTGGAACGCTTCAGCTATTAACTAAGCGATTTATTTCTGCGCAAGAAAATAAAATAGTCACAGACTGCAATCAATTCAATGTTTTCGGCGCAGTCAAATAAGGCCCATTCAATATCAAAAAATTATTACGAATTGTTACTAGTACTTGCAAGTTTTTACTGGAAATGCATTAAATAACCCACACAATTTGCAAGAGAGAGCCAGTTCAAGAGCGTAACAACCCGAAAGAGCAGCAAATTCTTGCAAGTAAAAATTTTACTAGCAGGAATTTGCATGAGTCAAAAAGTAAGGTTATGTTTAAAATTCAAATGCAAACAAACTGTTTAAGAGGATGATTTGATGAAACATAATTAGTGAAGTGAAAATATGGATGAACAATTTAAATCTAACGTATATTTTTTTTTATTTTTATGGCGATGGGAACTGTTCCCAATTAAAAAGAAAATTTGCGCTTTAATACTTAGCTGTCGGAAAATGTCAAAATGGCGTAAGTTGCACGTTTTTACTAGTTTTGCGTTCAATAACTTTTTTTGATAACTTTCGCTTGCTCTCAATTTTACTCCCTAATTTTCTTTTACGCTCTCACTGCAAGGACATACCGGAAAAGTTATTGAATGGATCAATAGTTAGGCTTTTGTTTAAGTCGATGTTTGAAAAGAATGAGCCCGATCCTCCTCTTTTTTCGCATTATATCAATGTGTTGTTGTACAACAAAATTATTTATTACAAAAATTATTTTTAACCAAATAACCTGATATCAAGGCAATGTATCATACGGTTGTACATCAATCGGAATTGAATTTAGATATCGATGTAGCAATTTAGTTGCTATTAACTTATATAGTCATAAGTCGCCAGTACCACGCCTATTTTCCGAAATTTTATAATAATCTTATTTCTTTTCCATATTTCTTAAACTTAACGTTACATGAAAAGTGGGCGTAATTTTAGTCCAATTTCAAATATTTTCATTATCATGCTTTTTGTGTCAAGTACAATAATTATATCGAGTCTAGTACAAATAGATACATACACATATGTGGTCATAAGTCCAAACCTTTGTTATAATCGTATTTGCTAAATAATTATTCCTAACATCAATTTGGAGTAAATTAGCTTCAGTCTTCTTCTTCTTATTTGGCGCTGTAACCACCAAATACATAAATTCTGGCCGAGTTCAGTTGTTTCTCTTCTGTGCCAACTGACGCCAATTGGAAATGCCAAGTGAAGCCAAACCCTTCTGCACTTGCTCTTTTCATCGCAGTGTGGGCCTTCTACTTCCTCTGTTACCACCTGCGGGTTCCAGGTTGAATAATTCCAGAGCTGTAACGTCGATTTTAATTCGAACGACATGTGTTTACTAATTTATCGCAGACTTGGTATTACTCTAAATTACCGTTATATGGGATGCAGGTGTGGTTATTGTGGGATTGTAAAAATGTTCAACCGTTTGCTATGTTGTATCAAAGTCAATAACTGTGCCAAGTTTGGTAGAAATTAGTACAGCGGTTACCGCGATACACACAAATTTTGTTTCCATTTAGGACACTTCCAATAACAACACTTAATTGTTTATTTTACAATTTTTTAATACTAATGATTTTTTCCATTCCTTTTTTTTGGACCATAAAAAATAGTTAATATTAAAAAATCGTTCAATAAACAAATAAGTATTGTTATTGGAAGTCTTCTATGGGAAAACAAAGTTTTCCCATGGCAAATATTGATTTTCAACACTTAAAATACATGGAAGACATCATGGGCTTTGAGGCAGTTCTAAATATCATTATCTTTTAAACAAAACCAGTATGGTATTCTTTTTTCCCAATTTAGAAAAATCATGGGGGGTTAGAGCTTAACATTTTTAATTATCCGGCCCACTTGTATTTTTGGACCACCTTAACCTACATACACATATAACAGCTAATTTCTTGAAGATCAACGTGCAAAGCTATAGCGTATCTGCACAACCTTCGGCACGTTTAGCTAAACAAATCATAAATCATTGCTATGAAATATGGAAATGCAAATTCCGGAAAAAAGTAAAAGAAACACAAAAATAATACAAAAATCAGAATGTTTTATACATAACTGTGCTGCACACACATATATATGTATGTACATATATGTAAACATGAGAATTTGCAAATTTGAAATTAAATAGCATTCAAAATCGCAGAAATCTTTAGTCATCACTTAACTTAGACAGCTCATAAAGATATCTGTGCCAACGGCTGCGCTCAGCCCAACTGATAAGCGTTGAATACACATGTACATATGTACATATGTAAACTAAACTGTTGTTGCTTTTCAGAATCTTATTGAAGATCTTGCCTTTCAAGTTCTTTGTATGCTGGTGAACAACTTTCTTATGTACCATACATACAGTGACTCAAACAAGTGGCCGCGTGTTGATTTTTTTTAATATTCACAATGTAGGTGATAACCTGATAACCATGCTACCATGCACAATGTTTTTCAAGTTAAATTCTTTTGGTATTTTTCTTTAAAAATTTATCCAAGTCTTAGTCAAAACTTAATGAATCAAAGTTTCAAACTGTACACAAAATTTAGAATAATTCAACAAATTCGCATACAAATTTTAAATTTTTTTCTAGCCTAATGAAGTGCAAGTTTAAAGCGACTGAAATCGCGTTGATTTTAATAATTCTTGTGTGCTGAGGGATTTTAGCACGTTTTCCCATATAAACATGAATTTCGTATGAAATGAAATGCGGGAGAACGTTTCGCAACAGAATTTCAAAAAAATCGACGCCAGTTTTTATAAATTGCACTTGATATAATTATAAAAAAAAAGCAAAAGTCGTCACAAAAAAAAAAAACAAAAAATATTAAAAATCAACTCGATTTTTTAGCCGGTTGAAACATGCACTTCATTGAACTAAAATTGTATATCCAAAAAATTGCATACCAAAAAATGTTTAAGAGTCAGTATAAAAAGTTTGAAATTTTGATGAAAATTTGGTTTATTTTCCAAAATTTTTTATTAAGGTTAAAACTTCGATTCACGTGTATGGTTTACGTTGAAGCTTGTACAATATGTTTAAAGAAAAATAAGAAAATTTTTGAAAAACCTTTTGAAAATTAAAACAAAAATTAAATGTAGTCATTTGTTTAAGTGACATTACAAATCGGTGAAAACTCGTCATTAAATTTTTATGTTGAATACATGGAGCCCAAACTGCGAAAATAACGCAACTCAATATGCGCAAAGCAAACATTTGAGAAATTCCAACTTTTTGAATTCAAATTGGAATTGTTTGAAATGGGAGCTGACGACGCCCACTTTATCTCCACCCCAAATGTACATTCCTCGATTACTAGGTAATGCAAAATGCATTTTCGAATGTAATGTGTGTTTTACTGATTATTTTTTCGTTTACTATACATTGCGTTTACTCACTGGGTTGTATTAATATTATGCGCCTACCAATATGCAAATACATACATACATATGTAGTAGAGCAACACGTCATTAAACCAATTATAAAATATTTGCGTTTCATTCTTGTGGAATAAATTTACATACATTTTTCACATCTTGTAATCTGGTTTATTCTTTGTCATGCGGCTGAGTAAATAACTTTTCCTTTGAATTATTCAGTAGCTGCAAGCCGTCGAGCAGACAATAGAAAGGCTAATGAAATAAATAATCTTCAATTAGTCTACAGAAAATCAATGTCAGTCGCAAGCCATACCGCAGACGCGTTATATGTGTATGTAAATTAGGGTGTCTCAGAATTTATTCAAAGTTTTCATGAAAAATACACGTGAAACAATCGAGGTATATTCCAAAACATTAGAGTGCCGATATATTGCCGATAGAAAGAGAGATACGATAAGAAAATGACAATTTTACTTTTCGAAATTCAAGGGGATCCTCAAATTTTTATTGACAGAAAGAAATTCAAATTTAAAAAAATCAACACAGGCTGTCCCTATTCATTCTCCTGACAGTGTATAGGTTAATAATACTTTTAGAAAAATTTAGGGTACGCAGTTTTGCAGCCAATTTTAACGTAGTATAATAAAGTGCAAGTTTTAAGTGTCTGTAAAATACCGTTGATTATCGGAAATTTTTTTGTTGACGGTATCATACATTTTCTTCCATATTAAAAAATTGTCGACCAGACTTGTCATAACAAAAACTATTTAAAATCATTCAATGCATTAAGTATTTTAGATTTTATTTTGTGTCAACATATTGTTTGCACACATTGGTACATAAACATACTTGAAATAATTCTATATTTATTTTGTGTTAATTTGCATATTTTAGAAGTTGGACGTATAAAGTAAAGTGCACCACTAGTAACAACAAATTTATCTGAGTTGAAGGCAATCAAAACGAACTATTAAATTGAAGAGAATACCGAATGCCCACAAATACAATCCTATCGAGAATGCAAACAACCAATCAAAACAATTACATTACCGCCGAAGATATACCATCTATAGCAAATAAGACCACCAGTAACCAAATAGAATCTATTAAAAACTATAATGCTTTAAAAGCGGGCCACTCTTTAGGAGGTACGTCTGTAACAAATATGACAACGACAAAGAGCCACAAATCAGCTTCTACACCGATGGACCAGCAATCACAATTCGAGGAGGACAATGATAATTGTATGATTGATATAGCCACAATGCAAATTGCTGACGACAGCAATAATGTAGTCAAGCCAACTGGCTCGAATTCCAACAACTACAGCAGCAATAATAAATGCACATGTGGGGATGAGCAGAGCGATACGAGACCAAAGGCTACCGCCGTAGGGGAGCAACTGAAATGTGCTGGGACGGAGGGGGACAGCGACAATGAAATCGATATGAAAACTACAATCGAAAACGAATGTGAAAATGTAAAAATTGAGGATGGGCGGGAAGATGATAGTTTAGCGCACGACTACCTTAATGTTTTGGAGATCAACCAAGCTGAGGAGGAGCAAACCATTACTGAACTCGTAGATGCTAGTGGGCAAAGAAAGTGTATAGAAGCGTAAGTAGAATATTAGGCAGTTTTGGCAAACTATTTCTGTTTCTATGTGTTTGTACGAGTATGTTTATTTGCAGCAAGCAAAGCAATGGCATGCGCGTCGCTTTTGGTATAATTTTTAGGCTAATGCTGCCGCTGGCTAACAACGTTATGCGCAGCTTCAAGGGCATACGTGATGTACGATTTTTGCGTATATTGAAATCTATTGCTTCCAGCCGACAAGCACTCACCAACTTGATGGCGTTTGCGGCCAATACAATATCGCTGAATTTGTCGTCGGTGCAAGGTGCGTATACGTAACATGCGGTACTGTTTATTTTGTAGTTGAATAACACAGATCCACAACAAAAATCTATGAAAGGTTCCTCTGACCAAATCTAGGTGAATAAGTAATATTTACAGGAAATTGTATGACCAACAAACTGCATGCAACAAACCCTGCTGATGTCAGATGAGACTGGCATATTATCGTATAGTTAATCCAGAGATAAACTCTAAGGGCTGATTTTGCAGTTGGTGGCAAGTCGATATATGTATATCTTTTTTTACTAAAAATAATTTATTCTTTCCGTACAAAGTATGAAGCAGTCGAGATTTTTTGACCACGCTAAGCTACTGAACAAATTTGGACAAGATGTTATTAATATAATCTGTATCGATAGGGCTATTCTCTTAAGTACTTAGAAATTTTAAAGATAGCGTTGCCACCTGTCTAAAAAATTATAGGATCCGCACCGTTCTTTAGATTACAAAAAAATAGGTGTCAAATGAAAGAGCTTGACACTACTAGAAGTTCATTAAAGTTCTACCCAGAATTGCAACGGACGACGGTAAAGCGGTCGACGGTTAATCGCTGTCAAAATTAAAACTGACCAAGGCATATGGAATGGCTCATTATTGCAATTGATTTAAATTTATTTCTATTTTTACCACCCAGCGGGGACAGCACACGATTTATTGAGTGTTGATTGTAGTATTTTTTATTATTTTCACAAGTTTAGCAATGTGTTTATCCATTTTCATTTCCAGCAAATCTACACACACACACAAAAGAAAATTCAATTTTCAAATCAAAATGAGTCAGTTGTCAAAGCCGTCGTGCGTTCCAATTGTGTTTACTCTGACGGATTTCACTGCAGCAACTGTACAGCTGTTCACCCACCGCCGACCGCTTTACCACCGTACAGTGGGCAAAAAAGGTTGTGACAAATTAATTTTGAGATACCAAATATGAACCGATTTCAAATTTCTTTTTTTTTTTTTTTAATAAAACATAGTTAAATTTCGCGTCGATCTATCCGTGGCGATTTTTTAAAAAAGTTCTGGTTTTTTATTTATTTATGTTCAAAAATTAAGAAAAAAAATTAATAGTTTATTAAATATTGTAGGTATTTAAAATTTCTGTCAAGTATTTTCCAAAAAATTGGTAGCACGTAAAATTTTTTTTCTTTCATTTTTCAACATAAATAAATAAAAAACTGGGGCATTTTAAAATAATCGCCACAGACAGATCGACGGTAAATTTTATGTGCTCTTATTAAAAAAAAGAGACGTTTCATGAAAAAGATGAGATGTGAAATGAAAGGTCTTGGTTTCCTCTGGAGTAAGGGCAATAGGGATTGCAAATGACTTGCTGTAGCGAGAAGATGTTGAGAAAGATAAAAACGGAAAATTAATTTACATTCATTTATTATACGCCCTTTCTTCACAATATACATATTTTTTTTTGTTAGATGCTTTAGTGAAGACAATACCCATGAGTCCTGTGGATTAGCCTAATAAATTTCAATAAAATTTTAATTTCTGGTAAAAGTGTGTTTTGCTATGAGCATAAATAAGGCGCTGGGTCAAACGGTTAATGTGGCCGGTATATATTTCAGTGCACCATGCTTCTTACGCGGATAACTACCCAAGAGTGAAAAATTATCGATTGTTAAAACTAACCAACTTATAGTTAGCTTTTTGGCGAGATCTCGATAAATACCTCACTTTTAATTAGCTATGACAAAACCAACTTAAAGGGAATTGCAAAGTCGTGCAGGAGTCATGCAGACGCAATCGGGAGTTGGTTTTCTTTACAAGTTTCTATTAAATATCCTCATACAAAAATTACTTTCAATACACTTTTTTTCTGAACTTCGCAGATTCTTTTTCATATTCAGGACAAATAAAAGGAAGATCGAAATTTTATACTATCATTTTGAAGTTATGTCTGACGGTGTTCGAATATGGGGCCACCCAGAGCAGAATATGTAAACAAATATGAAATGTAATAAAATAAAGTAAATAAATAAGTAAATAAAAAAGTAAAAAAACAAAAAAATATTTTGTTTTTCTTATTGATATTTTATGTCCAAAAGTAGTTAGTTACAAGTTAGTTGACATGTAATGCAGAGGTATCCAGGTCTGACTTTTTTGCGGCCATCGCCCCACAAAAGTAGTTAGCTTTTTTCGAACAAAATACACAGTTAATAGTTAGCACTAGTGTTCGCGTAAACAGACTAAAGTTAGGTATAAGGTAACGTCACTCCCTGCAGGGTATGTATATGTGGCTCTTTGACGTGTACACATTCAGAGCGTAGTCTCCAAAAATCTAGCCGCAATTAAAAACTCTTACTCATAAACATTTTACATTTTACATTTTACAGTTTCTCAACGTATCGATCCAATTCTGAAGCTTCTCAAAATACGTAAGTCCCCCGATGGCATTGAAAGTCTACCAGATACGCCGTCTATTAACAGTATATCCTGGTTTCCCACCTCCGCAATATCTACACCGCCGCCGACTCCTAAAACGCCTAGCACTCCTACTATGCCATTTCTTTCACCTTCATTTCGTGAACCTTCGGGAGTGATGCCTGCTTTTTCTACCAGCAAGCGAAAAACCACAATACCACAGACGCCCGCGCCAAAATGCTGTACATTAAAGGTGCTGGCTGAACCGCCACCAGGGGAGCCCATACGCGCCGACATTGTCTTCATACACGGGCTGCATGGTTCTTTGGTAAATACATGGAAGCAGGGTTTATGGGAGAACGAACGTCAACCGGAAGGTTTCGAACGGCCACCAAAACCACCAGTACGACCACCTAAACGGCCAAAGCATTCACGTGCGGTCTTATTGCATCCACCACACAAGCAAAAACGCGCGCGATTCGCGCACAGCGACTCCAATCAGCGGGCAACACAAGAGCAAATGGAGTGTGCTGAAGTTAAAGATTTGGATGATGGCTTCTTCGACGCAACTGAACAAGAATTGAGAAATGGGTACGGTAATTATGAAGTTCGTATGAAAAAATTTATAATTCATTCTTTTGAAATTTTCTAGTATTTCCTATATTTGTGGCGCGCCACAAGATGTAAAAAACTGTGATGGCATCGAATACAGTTTTCCCACAT